TACCAAGAAATTTCTGTTTGCTTGTCATCTATACAAAAACATGCCATCTAACGTGAATCGCATAATTAATCTCAGACACATTAGATCTTGATCATTTCAGTCTTTATAAATTTTAACATGTTTATCCAGTTTCATGACTCCCTGTGACAAAATACACCAGGTATGGATGGCTTTTTTTGATCTCACTGTTGAGAAATTTGACTTTTCATGATATGGTGTGGTTTCATAAAATGTTCAGCCGTTCGTGTGCGGGCTCTGGGTACCAATCTCTTTTGCCATCCAGTGGTTGTCAATGCGTGAGAGACTCTGGGGGAATGCGTTATTTCTCGATTCGTGATTGGCTGAAAATGACGCGAGCGCGCATTGTTTTCAAGTCGGTTTTTCAAGTCGCCAGCGCGCGCTCGCCTGTTTAGTCAAAAATATCATACTTTTATCGCATAAAAACACCTTTTTTCAYRCATTTTTGKTTTTAAAAAAGGTGTAACTACCGTTCCTAAACTAAGTTGTGTGCTAAACTTCCTTCTTTTTTGTCATTTTGATGCTCTAAAGTGCCAAAAACAAAACTGACCTAATTTGCATAATTTGCGACGGAAAAGCGTCGCAAATCCAGTCGATTCCTCCAGAGTCTTTCCGGCGACTAGTCAGCATACCGCTGACATTAGCCGTGAAGACTCTGGGCTCGAGATTGATCGTTAACCCTAGACCTAACCGGTTACACCAAGAGTGAATTATTTAAAACGAATGCTCATTAACATTTCACTAAAAAATTAATATATAAGAACGAAGTGTATACGAAGTGTATGCGAATAATCGACGGGATTAATTTGCATACGGCAAATTTACATTACAATATAAACTCCCCTCTGAGGTTTCACAATAGCCTCTTTTTCACAGAGGCGGGTTTGTAACGTATTCCATATATGGCACAAGCGTATAGAACAAACTAACAAGCGAATTGATGGTTTTCAACCATTCCCATGAGAGTGAGCAAAACAAAAAGGTCCACCAGTCACGGTGGTGGTTTTCTTTTGTCAGGTCMACCAGCAATGKCRGACATCTTTTGTTTAACTTTCTCTCCTGGGAATGGTTGAAAACCATCAATAGAAGCACCTAACAAGCGAACAGGGGTCCATACTTTTTTTCACTTGTATATTTTTTTACAACAAGTTTTTATCGGCTTATTCGGACGTTTTAGCTACGCCTTAACTTATTAAAAATTTTCTTAGCAAATTTTAACTTAGAATTATGAATTTAACATTTTATAGCCTGACCCGTCCTTTTCCCTAAACCTAACCGTTACTAGAGCTACAAATCTAAAGTACCTTAACTAACTTGACCACGAGGGATTACGCTGGTAAAATAATTCAGATGCTTGACTACACTCCAGTGTCCATGAAAAACATTATTTCTGGATAAAGTGTTGAAATTAAGGAATAAA